TATGCAGGATTTAAAGGCAACTTGAGTTGGTTTTACAGGATGGAGATCTAAGGATGGTAGTTTGAGGCCTTCTCAAAGGACGCTATAGTAGGATCATAATCTTGGAATTCATGTGATAATTTTTCTGATGAAAACCTACATTAAGGGTTGGTTGTCTTTTATTCTAAGCTTGAAATAGTGGTTTTTGTCTTGGTTGCAAATAATTCTGTTGTCTAGAAGGGATCTTACTTAGTGATGATAGGTGATTGCATCTTCTTTACCGGGCTGCTAGCATCTTAATTGAATGAGGTTGGTGCCATCGATGCCATTGTTTTCAATCATCATTTTGGTGTCTTCATTTTCTATTGAATCCATTGAAGTAGCTGTGGTTTTAGTGGAAGTGATGGTGGTGTCCTTAGATATGGTATCAGTCAAGGTAAGCTCTATAGTTGGCTTCATTCTATGCATTTCATTTCTTGTTTGTAATGGTATTTATTCCTGGTGGCTGCTTGTGTGCCACGGAAAATTAGGGACTGTCTTGTGGGATTAGCATGAGAGGAAGTGGTGGTGACAATCACCACTCTTAAGGAACACCACTAGGCACTAGCATTAGGAAGGTACTTAATTAAAAAAATTTGACCTTTTTATCATGTAATATTTACCCTCATTTATGACATACAGTAACATTTATCGCCGTGTCCCTCACACATGAAACATATTATAAGTTTGAATAAATTAACTTGGAATCAAATGATAAAACAAAAATAATGTAAATTTATACTTGACTTTATAAATTATTATCTTTATGACATAATAAATATTTATCCTCATATATGACATGAATAATCTTTTATAAAATTATACATTTTGTATGTGTCTTCCATATGTCGTATCTTACATTTTTTGAAAATTATTGTGTCGAGGTGTCCGTATGGTTTAATGTATCCATGCTTCTTACGAATGTTCCTAAATTGTCACAAAAGCTATTTTTTGACAGATTAACAACGACAAGTGAGGTGATGCAAAAATAGGTGTGCAAAAGAGCATTTCATTTGGGAGAAAGATTAACGATGTTGTTTTAGTGTACTAGTATTTGTGATGGCAACACTACTGTCGTAAAAGGACAGTTCATAGCAAAGATATCATTGTTGTTGCAAATAGTTAATGCTTTTGCGACTAATATTTTGGTGACGGTAAATTGCCATTGCTAATCAACAGTCACTCGTGTTGGGTAAAATAATCAAAAAGTTAAAAAGACACTATTAAAAAGTTAATTCTTCTTTCTATTTTACACATCTTTTTGTAAAAATTTTCATCAAAATTGAAAATCCATTTGATGGGCACGGACCCAAAGGCCCCGTTTGTTTTCAGAGGTAGAATGAAGGGGATTCATAGTGAGGGAATTAATAGTGAGGGGATTGTTAGTGAGGGGATTGTGTAACAACCCCGACCTCTGATTAATATTAATCCGTATTTACATGTGTGTTGCATTATTTTTGTGTCTTTATCTGTTTGGTGTAGAAAGATCTGTTCACGATTTAGTTTCGGTTTACGAATTGAAAGCCTTATCGGTGTCCGAATCAGAAATTGACTTGATTTATGTGCTAGTTAGGATTTATAGGATTTTATGGTAGGTTTAATTAAAAGTCGGTTCGGAACGATTAAACTTGATTAAAATAATGCCATTTGTTTACTTTTGAACAAATTACTACTTATTAGGCTAATTGAGCCCCACTCACCTCTTTTATTCATTTTGATCATATTTGAGCTCATTCTAAGGGAGAGAACCGAGAGCGAGAGGGAGAGCTGGGAGAATTGATTCAACAAGAAAGTTTGCTTAGAAATTAGAGGAGTTTGAAGAAGACTTGGGAGATTGGGCCTCTACACTTAGAATTCAAGGCTTGAGATAGGAAATTCACCATTTTGTTTATGGATTTAAGTTGTTCATGCATGAATTCAAGTTAATTGAGCTTTAAGATATGAGAATCAAGCTTAAAGGCTAGAGAAGAAGATCAATCCATGCATGCATGCATGTTTCATAACATTTTGAAGGATGATTTTCAAGAATTCCCTCATGCATGTGTTGAGTTCACTTTAATTTTGAGAAAACAATGAGTTTTATGTTATTGGGTAGCATTTGATCATGTTTTGGAGAGCCTTAGCTTAAAATGTATATGCATGTTATGTTTATATATTGATTTTGAGCTTAAAGTTGAATTTTGTACAATTGGTTTACTCTTAGGCCATGATTTCTTGAAATGATGCTTTAAACATGTTGATTTATGAGTTTCTAGGTGTTTTCCAAAGTTTTGGTCCAAGAAAATTTAGTTTGATGCATTTAAGGTCGAATTTGAACTTGGTGATCAAATCTGGAATTTCCAGAAATTTGATCCATGCTCGAGCGTGGAACTTTACGCTCGAGCGTGCACCTTGAGTACATGCACTCCGCTCGAGCGTGGAAGTCTACACTCGAGCGTGAAATGCATTTACCCATAAGTTCTTGTCTTTTACAGTCCGCTTGAGCGAGGGAATCCACGCTTGAGCGAGGTTCTGAGTCTCACGCTCGAGCGTAGGTCGAGCGCCCGTCGAGCGTGAAAATCATGCATCCAACACTTTTGTCAAGGTTTACAGTCCGCTCGAGCAGGGAAGTCCACGCTCGAGCGGGGCTTCATTGTCTGCATGTCCGCTCGAGCGAGGGAAGCCACGCTCGAGCGTGGACCTTATTTTCAGCAAATCTTGAGAAATGTTTTCCAATGCATTCTTGCATCCTCATTCCATCCTAAGTATTTCTAAGCCATATTTAAGACTTTATAATGAGGATTAAGGGTTAGAAACACACTAAGAGCAAATGACATAAGTTATGTACGATTCGAACGTGTGTTTCAAGTGTGTGTTCGTATGTGTGTTCATATAGGTCACGCGCCTCAGAACAAGTTAATGGCCGCCTTACATCTAGTTAGGGCTACCAATCATCTGTGAGTAATAACTTTGTAAAGTTATGTTAATGTTAAGTATTTTCTGAATATTATGATACGAAGTAATTAGTTCTCTGAAATGCCATGCTATATTTGAAATGAATGAATGGTTGTCCAAAATTCTGAAAGTTATTCGTGGCACCCTTAGCATCATATGATATGCGTCCCTTTATGGGTCATCGGGTCCCTTTATGGGTCATCAGAAACGTCTCTGTGCACATGAGTCATCAGAATGCCTTGAAGGCTGTTCCTTTATGGGCCATCGGGTTTGTTAATGCTAAGAGATGTACCACGTATGATTATATGCAAAATCTGAATATGGAAATGATTACAAATATGTATATGAATCTGTTTCTGATAAGGATTTGATTTCTAACTTTGTGATGGACATCATTCATTAAATCCTTTACTCTGTTATTATTCACTGGGCTTTAGCTCACAGTTTATATTATGTATGTAGGTAAGCCAGCGTGTGACCAGGGCCAGAGTTGGCGGCCTTCTGTTTTGTTTGTGAGCCAACCGTTGTGCCTCCCGAGGAGGTTCTGAACGAAGCCTAAAGCCATGGCTGTTTTTGTATTCATGCTAGTCTTTGTGTATGCTCTGTAAAGTCAGGTCTTGGGAAGTACATTCTATAAATACTTTGTAAATATTGTGTATCTGGACTGGCATGTTTATGTATATATAAATAAGTTTTGAAATGTTCTGTCCCATGTACGTTATCACAGCTTATTGTACCTTGTCTATTTTGTATTATTGCTTCCGTAGTCCCTTATTATTTGCTAATCTGTTCAGAGACCTTTGGTAATCCACGGATTACTGGCTGGTTACGGTGCTAAACCTACAGGGGCGGGTTTAGGTCATGACAGAGTGGTATCAGAGCACGTGTTCTACCGTACACACAGGTCCATATGAGCTTAGGAAGTCCTAGTAAAAGAAGTAGGGGCATTTCATCTGCATGTTTATGTGTATTGTTCGAAAGTGAAAGCATAAGTTCAAGTATAAACATGTGAATTTGAATACATAAAGTTTTGTTTACCTATAGCAAATGGACAATGCAAGGAATGATGACACAACAGGGTCCTCTGATACCCGAATGAATAGAATGGAACAAATGCTTACAACCTTAACCGAAGTAGTAATCCAACAACAGAGGCAACAACCTTTACCACCTCTACCCCTACCAGCTTAAGTTGAAATGGGCACCGGTGACATCATCAACTTGACACAGAAGTTCATGAAAATGAAACCGCCAACATTCTATGGTGGAATTAAACCATTGAAAGCAGAGACGTGGTTACTTGAAATGGAGAAACTGAATGAGGTGTTCCCTTGTTCTGAAGTCCAGAAAGTCCTCCTAGCCACATGTACTCTGAAGGATGAAGCCCAAAGGTGGTGGTTACTAATTCAAAATGGCCACGAGAATATGACGTGGACTCAATTCAATACAATTTTCTATGACAAGTACTTTCCCCAGTGCTTTCGAGACCGGAAGGCAGAATTTCTGTAGCCGAGTACGAAGCTAAGTTTACTGAGTTGGCCAGGTTTGTTCCTCACATGGTGGCCAGGTTTGTTCCTCACATGTTCCTCACATGGATTGGATCTGGACATACTGGATAGCAAGGTTTTAAAAACCGGACCGGTGAGCGAACCGGAAAAATGATCGGGTGGACGGGTCACCGGTTCAACCCACCGGATCGAACCGTGACGTCATAATTATGTCATAAATAATTTTTTTTTAAAATATAAATTAATAATTTAAATATTAAATTTTCAATTTTTTTTAAAAAAAATCTTAAATATTTTTAGTGATGTTTTTCTATAATTAAAAAAAAAAATTCCTGAATATAAGCCATAACACTTCACATACTAACAACAAATAAAATTAAAGATGAAAATTTAGCCATTAAAAACAACAATCATAGTAAGAAACATTATGAAAGTATCCAACTAAAGCAATCCATAAAACATAAGTTACAAAAAAGACAAAACTAAGTTCAAAGTTCACAGACAACACAACATAACATCACAAACAATCTTTGATTTTTGCCTAAATCTCCTAGGGACGATAATTTAGCCAATCATCATCATCATTCTCATTCGCATTTGCACTAGAGCTCGGATTGTTTGATCTATTATCAATGTTCACGTCACCAAAAGATCCCAAGTCGATATCATCTCCAAGAAGTTCTACCTCCATATCATCCTCAACATCATCTACAATAGTTAAAATAAAATCATTAAGCTATCATTTTGATAATGATAGATAAAAAAGATTGTTGCATAATGATGAAACATTATTTTCTAACCATCTCGTAGACCATGACATTGCCTCTTATATCGTGAAGGCTCATTTTCTTCATAAAGCATTTTTTCGAGCTCATTATAATCAAGCAATGAAGGGTTCTCTTATTCTAGTCTTTCTTCTTCAATAATCCAAAACTTGGTTTTGTCAATGCTTTCAATGTCAATGGGATCATAATTCCTTGTTTTGTAATACTTCCTATATTGATTCAATTATAAGACTAAATAAACGAATAAAATAAAGAATCCATTAGTTACTATATGAGAAAGATTAATTTACCTATTCTTCAATCGCAAGTTGTAATGAACATACACAAGATCATTAAGCCTATGATGTTCTAGTCTATTCCTCTTCTTTGTATGTATGCGTTCAAAGACAC